TGCTTCGTATTCATTTAAATATTCTTATTTCTCTTCATCAGTGAGATCTCACCACATGCCACCAATAATCTTGCCAATCTCCCACAACTTTAGGTCAGGATTGGAAGCCTTTACTTGGTCCCAGACCTTTCTGCTGTACCTCATGTAGGGCATCAGCAGCTTATCTGGTGGCTTTGGAGGCTTTGGAATCATAATACCAGAGGATGCCGTGACCCGGCTGTTGGTGCCCGGGTTCCTTCCCAGCCTGTAGTTGTTGTAGGCGAGATGACTGTATGGATTGTATCCCACAACCCCTGGTGTGCTGGGCATTTGTGTTGCAGGAGCTGGGGTGGGAGGTGGGGCATAAGATGGTCTTTTTGACATTTTGGAAGATTAAGTTCTCAGTTGCTTAAGAATGAATCTGAGACACCACGGTCTGAAAAGCGCCCACAGCTCCGGCTACGCTTCCCTTTGTCCTGCGCTCGCCCCGCCCCTCCCATCTCTTTGTTCTTGACTGTAGACACATGAGACTAGTCACTTCAAACTCCTGCCACAGAGACTCCCCTGCTATGACAGATTGTAACCTGGAATTGTAAACCAAACATACCTTTTCTCCCTTAAGTTGCTTGTTTTGTTATGGTATACTTTCCCAGCCACAGAAATGAAATTAGGACACCTTAGCATCATTCAATTTACCATGTCATTAGATGGACCCAGACTCTTGTGTCCTTATGGCATCTCTTGTTGATCTAGAGCAGGCCTGGGCCATGTTCTCACTGTGGAGCCTTCAGTGTTGTTTATAGGGTAGAGGTTTTGAAACATCGTTTATTGAAAGCTGCAGGTGTTTGTAGACGCTCCCATTACATTGATGGACTTCTATTCCATTCCCCTTTCACTAAGTATATTTAACCACAAGTTTATGTTGGATTAGGTCAATTGCTTTTCCTCAAACTGTGGGTGTGAATGCTTATAGTTTTTGATAAATCCAGAGTTTTGGCTCATGCATGGCTGATTTATCCGTAACTTATGTCAACTGTTAAAAAGTGCTTAGCAAATTTTGTGTGATCCAAGCTTTGACAGTAAAGAACACCAAGCAAAACAGTGAGATTAGGAAATATGTAAGTATACTATATTTGACGCCATTTAATTCTAGAAGAATTTGCTAGACTCTGATAATTTCTACTTTCAAATTTTACCAATAACAAGAGTGAAGTTTAGAAAGTTTATCAGATGCCCACAGTAACAATAGACTGATTTTTGCCATGAGTGTGTATCCTATCAGTCCATTTAGGACCCAGAAATCATTTCTAAGATTCCCCTAAAGATTCCTCTAAATTAGCATCTATGAACTGATATGCCTCTGTAATTAGAGTTTGTTCTTTACAAATGGCTAATCCTACCTATTATGTAGTGTTCTATTTTCTTCATTCTCACAGAGAACCTTACTGTTTTAACATGGGGTACAAGCAGGATCTGTCAACCTTTATGTTATCCTGATCGATTGACCCAGGAGAGAAGCAAGACAAGAATTTAGCTGCAAATTGGAAATTCTTTTTGTTAAAATGATCTCTTCTCCTAAAACTCATACTTTTTGTAGGACATGGACTAGGGTTAGGGTTTAAAAGTTTCTGTGTGGAAAAGCATCAACAACTTTTTGAAGTTTAAAGAGAAGAAAATGTTAAGCTTCTGAAGTATAGATGATGGCACATAGACTTTTAAAGGAAGCAGGGAAGAGTACCCAGACATACTTCATCTGCAGGCAGATTCATTTTCCACAGTGCTCACTATGACTCAAAATATTATTTCAGGTCAAACACTGACCTTTCCTGAAGCACATGGTATTTTCCTGAATTCACCAAACTGTTCAAAAGCTTTTTCCCATCTGTGATGAGGACTGTAAGGATCAGAATCTTCTAGAACAATCATTCTAAGATTCCTGGGTCTTCTCCTAGATTCCAGTCTCAGGATTTCTAAGAACTGATTCCCTGCAGATATTTCAGGACCAGAAACAGAAATCTCACAGCTCTGACATAGAACAGCAATGAAGAAACCTGTGCCTTCCCTTTGCAGAGACAACCACACCTTCATGTCGAGGGCTGATGATGTATCTTTGGGGTAAAGACAGAGTCTTGCTGGATTCCCCAGAACTAAGGGCTTTGTCCATGTGATTCTGTTGGTGTCTTGCAGTGAGTCATGGGGAAACCATTCCTTGCTTTCAAGATGGTCTTCATAATGAAAAGAAAGAGCTTGGGAAGGAGCAATTGAATGATAAGTGCCAGTGGGCATGCAATTCCTAGTGACCTGTAAGCAGTACTCAGCAAGTGGTACTAGCAGGTCACAAGAGAGGGCTCTGACCTGACTTGATTTAATCATTTTTCACTGGGTATTGGCTTAGCCCTCCCCGTCCTTACTCAGCCTGCATTCCTGGCCATCTTGTCATTCAAACTAACAGCACCTTTCATTGACCAGCTGGTTGCTGTGTCCTGACTTGTATTCTCAGTCTTCCACCTTCCCACAGCAGCCAGGATAACCTGTCAAGACAGCCTTTTGGAACCTCTCCATGACTTCCTGTTGCACTTGGGACAAAGACAAACAAATGCATGCAAAATAACAGGTTTTCTTATGAAATTGTATAGACTTTTTGCACACACACACACACACACACACACATACCACACACACATACACACACATTATTGTAGGCTGTGTATAAGAGATAACTTGAGATATCTGTTTATATCTGTTTGTCTTTAAGATGTCTCTATATTTATTTATTTGGGGGGCATGCACATGGCATGGCATACATGTGAAGGTCAGAGGACAACTTGTGGAAGTCAGTTCTCTCCTTCTCCACGTCCAATCCAACTCTGATGATCAGACCCAGTGGTATGTCTCTACCCGGTGAGACTTCTCACTGGCTACCTGCTTTGCTTTTATGCCTCTTGAGTGCAACCTTTAGACCTCTTCCCTACCCTAGATGGCCTCTTTCTACTTCCAACACACACACACACACACACACACACACACACACACACACACACACACA